TGGAACCAATACAGGCCCCAAATTTTGAGGCGCACGTAGCCTAGAACTCATAACCTGAAATTTGATAACCCATATCTCGTGCTGGTAACCTGAAATTTGTACAACGTACCTAGAACTCATAGCCTGAAATTTGATACCCCGTATCTCGTGCTGGTAACCTGAAATTTGTACAAAGAACTCGTAACCTCAAATTTGGTACCCCATAACTCGTTACTTGTAACAAAATACATCGTACGATCAGACAATAATTATTCACTTGTCTTCGCTGCTAGATTCGCGGCCCCATTATCCGTATATGAAACCAATATAACCTAAAACTCATAACCTGAAATTTGATACCCCATATCTCATGCTGGTAATTTGGTACCCCATGACTCGTGACTTGTAATAAGATACATCGTACTGGGCCCCCCAATTTTCCGTGGCCCCATTTTTCTATACTAAAGTCTGGCCACGATTAGACAATAATTTATGTCTCGTTTTACCTACCAATTATTCCAATGCAACATCATCATCATTCGAAATTTGGGTTCACGCCGCCGTCGAGACCCAAACCATAGAAATTTGGGCCACATTTTTCGCAAGCCCCAAATATTATTTTTAAATAATTATAATAATTTCTGCTGCTGCTGATAACAAGCTTGCGAACTTGCTTAATTTATTCGAAATCCCGTTATCTCACTAACAAAAACCGCAGCATTTCCTGACGATAATAAATATTGTTGTTATTGTTGTTCTATATTCATTCAAAGTCTAGTAAGTTATTCCAGCGTCCTTAAGTGATACAACGTTTTTTCAGTGCTCCAGTTTCAAAAACATTTTTCTACGAAAATTTCATTCAAAGTTGGGCGTTGGATTATTTGAAGTTAATTGTGTTTATTGCTAAAAAACTATGTAAGTAATTTTTTCATTAATCTTAATGACCCTGATAATAATACATTGGTCTATTTTTTTAGAGACAATCATGAATTTAGATCAAATAAACCAGGCGGCTTGTATTGAAGAAAAGCCCTATTTGAAATTGAAGGACCTAGTTCCAAATAATCTGTATCCCATTATAAGTATAAAAGTTGTTAACTCTAAATTTGGAGAAGTAGCAAAAGTAGACTTGGAAAAATGTACCTATCACATTTCTACCGCAACGTTCAACCGAACCGATTAAACAAAATCTTGACCATTTCGAGGCTGGGAAATTTGCACTCATTTTCAAGTCTATGAAAGAGATTCAGGGACTAAATCCAACGGCGATTTTTGAAATTGTGAAATTGTTGAATCGTAAGTTCACTATAATATAAACTATCCAATTGAAACTAATTATTTTAATTTTAGATTGGTTGGAAATGAGAAAACAGCACCAACAACAAAACGTCGCAACAAGACCACCAACAAATAAGGATTCAGAGTGGAATGTATTTTTTGTACAATTATTTGAAAAATAGATGCTTTTTTAGTAGATATCTAATAATTGTTTTATTTGTACAATATCGGGTTTTGCTATAGGGAAAGAAATAGACCAGTTTAAATTTTTATTTTTATTTAAGAAAAATATCATACAAGTTATATTTATGCACTTGAATTGAATCAAGATGATTTTCATTCCATTCAGCATTTATATCATCGAGAAACTGTAAAAATTCTTCAAATTCGTTGTAGGTAAATTGAATTGAAGTGTCATTCCTTTGATGTAAGACAATGTACGTTTTTTCTTCTCAGGATTATAATTAATTTGCACAATGTCTCCAATATTATATTCTTGATACACTGGTTTTGGAACAATTGTCCAATTTGCATGTTGCTGGTCCATTTGCAAATCTGGAAGTTGATGAAATTACTCCATCCCATTTCGGATCCATTTTTAAATTTTCAAAATTGGGGTTCGCCCAGGTCAAACCCCCGAAACTTCAAATTAAAGGCGCCGCCGATCTAGAGATTTTCCCACAGTATCAAAAAAGTTCCCAGGCTTCCCGTAAAATTAATTTATTAAACCATAAAGAACATTGACATTTTCCTATACGCATAAACTAAATAAATACAAGTAGTGTGATTCCAGTTGATTCCCGTTCTAGTCTTCATCTTTAGTTTCCCTTTCCTTTTCCCTTTTTATTCGCCACTGCTGCTGGTAAAACAGGATGCTTCTCGTTAATCATTTTGATCACCTGACCTTTCGTGATTAAATCGTTATCGTTTATAGCTTTGGAAGCTCTGACTATTCTCTTGTCACCAATACTTATATATGAAAGTGTTATATTAAATAACTTATGTTGTTCTTTCAAGGCAGCTATTCTTGGAGCCAATTGGTTTTTGATATCAGTGCCAATCGATTGGTTCATAGTGGTTAAACTTTCAATTTTCTTTTGAATTTCTTTCATTGAAGAATTCACTGTTTTAAAATCATTTTCAAACGAGTGGCTCTTATTTGTCAAAGTTTCAATTTTCTTTTGATTATCTTTGATTAAAGATTCTATCTGCTTATACTTTCCAGATAATTCTTGTGAGGGTGACTCAGTGACTTTTTTCTGGTTTTCCGAATCTATTTTAAATTTTTCCAAAAATTGTCTCAATGTTTTATCCATATAGGATTTCGTTGCATAATCTTGTGATTGGTTTTCCAAACGTCGTTTCAACACCAAATTTTTATACTCGTTAACAGTTTTTAAGCGCTGTGAACGACCAAACTTATCGACAGACATGATGATACTAAATTGAATGTCTACTGCTACAAACTCTTATTCTCTCTATCTCTGTCTCTCTCTTTCTCCCTCTCTCTCTTGTAGTTTATCCTGAAAACTAAAATGGAAATAAAATAACGAATATTTTTAAAGAATTTATTGCATAAAAAAATTATTTTTCACAAGTTCACATTCTTATTATTACATCACTAGATATCTAAAACACATAATTTCTTGAAATCCATAACTATTTTTTCCGGGTTGAGGTATCGAATTCTAACATAAAATAGGATAATTCACATATATTTAAATTACAATATTCTTTTATGACACTTAAAAAATTATTTTCGTTAACAGTGGTTACATTATAATATTTTAAACTATTATCATAAAAAGTTCTAAAATCTAGTTCTATAAGTAAACTTAACCTATAATCTATTATTTCTCGGATATGTGAAATGGATTCTATATCGTCTATACAAAAACATAAATCAACTTCTCCGCTTGTTAACTTGATAATTCTCTCTCCAAAACACATAACTGCAGAAACAATGATGGTATCCGAAAATGAAACAGTGTTATGACATCACTACCATCTCCAGACAGTTCCATGAAGGATGTAACAATATCCAGAAATTCGGACCATTCTATATAGCTAAACGAAACAGACACTTGTTCTTCAGGTAGATTTAGAATTGTACTTGTAGGCTAGGAATTAGTCCTAGAGCAATACTTATTCCAGCAATTATTTTGAAATTCTTGGTTGAATAACAAGTCTCCCCCAAAAATGTTGATTTTTTCATGATTTCTTGTTTACTCATCAAAAACATACTATTGACATACGTCCAATTAGGTGAGGAACAGGTTGAGCAGCTATCATCTTCACTATCCATACAATCAATATCTGCTGGTGTTGTCATGTTAAATTACCGTACAATACCTATTTTTATGATTATGACTTAGGTTATGTGAATGAGAAGTACTACTTTCTTTGCAAACTTGATACTTCAAACTCAGTATTACAAATGAGTTGCAAATCGTTTAAATCTCCTTTTAAACTAGATCTTTATCCCTGTCAACCCAGCTATTATGAGATTTTTCAAAGTCCAACCATTTTACATACATTTTATTTCCTTTCTTTCGTAATACTTGTTCTATAAGAAACACATCAGGTTGTTTTGTTTTCTGTAGTTCTTCTTCATAAAAACCACCACTCATAGGCCGACCTTGCAAGTCCTCTAACAAATATGTTGTTGGATTTGTAATTCTTACTTTAGCTATGTGGAACAATTCCGTAGTCCAGTTTGGGGTATATCCTTTCTGAAAAACATGCTTGAACATGCTTATGCGGACTACGTCACCGACCTTGAATTTATGTTTTCCAGCTACCTTAATATGACTATAAACAGTATTAAGTAGTGTTTTTTCATTATTTTTAGTAACTATGCTTGGTTTCATTTTAATCGTGCTATGTTTGCGGTCATTATATGCATCGGTAACAGGCTTCAATAAATCGATCCATTTATGATTTCCGTTTAATGTAAATTGCTTAAACAACTTTTCTTTAATGGTTCGAATTACTCGCTCTGCAATAGATGCTTTTAGAGGACTAAACGAACTATAATGATGTATTCCATGTTTCTTCATTAGACTCGAAAATTGAATATTATAGTATTCCTTTCCATTATCCGAAATAAGTTTCTTGGGTATTCTTCCGGAAATTTTCAAAATGCTCTCCATAGCTTTAGCGACATCTTGCGCTGATTTCGATTTTACAGCTCTAGTCCACAGAAATTTAGAAAAACAATCGATAACAACCAATATGTACTTGAATCCCTTGTTTTCTCGAGCATACTGATCAAGCTGAGCCAAGTCGGTGGCAAAAGTATCATCCAGACCATACTGTATAAATCTTCTACGATTAAACTTTTTACGTGCTGGCTTATGTAGTTCTTCAACCACCCGTTCCCTAGCTTTTGTAATAGTTTTCATTTTTTCGTTGTGACTCACAGTACATAAATGTTAAGAGATCTAAACTTGAAAGTGGCTAACCCTATAATGATTCAAGATAGCACATGTAGAACTATTTATTAAACTCAATCACACCCAATTCAGCCAGTTCCTCTAAAATACTCATAATCTCATTGATATTATTGGTATTTACAGCTTTTTGTGATGCATCCAATTTAACAAGTCTATCAATTAATTCGTTGACGTCATCGTAATAAACATATTGTTTTCGTTTCTCATTATATTCTAATAATAAAGCACTTCCGGATTTATTTTGAGATCTTGTAGATGGATTTCGGCCAGATGGCGAGGCACTGTTACTTGATTTAAGCCTTTTTGCTTCAGATGATGTTGAGACCAAAGGTTTAACAAATTGTTTATATTTTGAAGATGTGGACCCTTTAACCTGTTTGGATGGATCAAAATCTCTTCGATGAACATTGGTCCTGTTTAGAATATCCGTAAACTGCAACTTATCATCCTCCGTCTGATAGATCGGCTTTTTCAGAAATAAAAGATCATATAAGCCCTGCGTTCCTTTATAAGATACACCCCCGACTTTAATATCTCCATTCGGGAGTAAGTTGACTTTTTGTGATCCCATAGACCAATCATCGGTTTTCATATCATGTTTCAAGCCATAAGAATGGTCTATTTCATCTGATTGTTTATAGTATCTATCTACATACTCTTGTGCTACTTTGGGATACTGATCTAAAAATTCTTCATACGCTCCTGATCTATCGTGAATTGATTTCTGCAGATCTTCTTTCAAATGTTGTAAGGGTTCATAAAAGACATCCTCAGCGCCATCATCATCATCATCATCATCACTTTTTAAATTCTCACTCGTTTGAGCAATAATCTCTGCTGGTTGGAACTCTACATTTCTAGGAAGTTTCGGTTCAGATTCAAAATACGTTTTAGGAGCTTCGAGCTTAACTTTTTCATGTTTAACTTGGACTTTTCTGCCAACCGTTGTCTCAACAAACTCTCTTAGAGGTTCAGTTATAGGGTTTATTATCCTATCAAGTGCCTCATCTTCCTCTTTTCTCTCCAGCTTTAAAGCCAAATACTTTTTTCTTATAGATCTAGCAGCGTTCAGTATTTTCTTCTTGATATTCCTATCATTTTCGCTTGGAACCGAAGCCATGATTTCCAACCAGATTGACTGGTTTACACTGTCTTTTATACTGCTACACAGATCAGGAGACAGGTCTGTATACAGCTATATACAGGTCCGTATACCGCTATACAGGTCTAGAGACAGCTTTACAGGTCAGCAGACAGCTTTTTAGACAGCTATACAGGTCCGTATACCGCTATACAGGTCTAGAGACAGCTTTACAGGTAAGCAGACAGCTTTTTAGACAGCTATACAGGTCCGGAGACAGCTTTTTGGACAGCTATACAGGTCTAGAGACAGCTTTACAGGTCAGCAGACAGCTTTTTAGACAGCTATACAGGTCCGGAGACAGCTTTTTAGACAGCTATACAGGTCAGAAGACAGCTTTTTAGGCAGCTATACAGGTCTAGAGACAGCTATGCAGGGTAGGAGACAGCTTTTAGACAGCTACACTGGTTCAGAGACAGCTATGGTACAGCTATTGCAGAGGTCTGTACACAGCGAAGGGATACTGAGGAGAATTTGTCTTCTATGGAGATATATAGGTGTTGAACTGACTTCGGTATCTACCGCTCGTGATATCATCATCTTTAACAATGACTAAAAAACCATATTTATCTTTCCAGCATTCAGAACAAATAGTTTTAAACGTATTTAAAGACATATCTGTGTTAACGTGATCGTCGTACACATGTTTCAGGTTCGTGTCATCCTGCTTAAATACTATAATCATATTTGCATTATCACGAATCAATTGCTTAGGTATTTTTGAATACGTCTGACAAAGATAAAAACAGTCAATAGCATTGTGGCGGCCCATACAAAAATAGTTTCTTATCTTGTCTTGCTTCTCACAAGCCACATCATCGAATATAAACACCGAATCTGACTCAGCTGTTTGCGGATCTAAAACGGTTTCATTATCACTGTATCCATAAAAGTTTATACCAGCAACACTGTTGAGCACCGCTTTCAGAAACTTATACTTCTCTTGGTCCAATGACTTGGAATATACATATACATTTCGGAATCTAAGTCCATTCTCATCGGTTGACATACTAAGCATAACATTTGTTTTCCCTGAATTACTTGGCCCGCATATTATTGCTCTAATCGTGTTTGGTAAAAGTTTTCCATGTCTCTTTCTAACACTAGTGGACTTATTAATGTCAAAGTTATCGATCTTTATGTTGATTTTCTGCTTCATCTTCCGCATCGTATATAAACAATGTTCACTCTACCTCTGTTTCATTCTTAATGAATACACCATCGAGTGTAGGTCCTTTAAATAGCTACATCAACAAGCTTTCTTTTGAAATTCACGGATCTATAACACAGACATCGGTCAGATAAAGTGCTGAAAAATAGATCGTGGGAATGGGTGAAAGGATAGGATTTTGCAATTTCGGTTAGAAGAAAACTAAACGTAAACTCAGCATGGCTCGATCGAAAAGTTTGAAACCATTCAAATCCTATGTTGTGGCTAATATTAGAAAGCAAGTAAAGCATCGTGGTAGAAGAATAAAAGACTCTATTAAATCGGCGCTTCAAGCAGCTCGTAAGACAATCAAAGAAGCTGGTGGACCCAAAAAGATTCGAGTTCCACGAGTTATCCCAGTACCGAAAGTAGGTGGAAGTATTCCTCTTATACCTCTGTTTGCCGGACTTAGCGCGCTGGGCGCTATGAGTGGGGGCGCGACAGGGGTGGCAAAAGCAGTGAATGACGCTCGTTCTGCGAAAGATAAACTTGTCGAGTCCAAACAGCACAACGAAACGATGGAAGATATTGCGTTAGGAAAAAAAGGGAGTGGATTATATCTTAGTAAACACAAGACCGAATATGGACTTTACCTGAAAAAGATGTCAAAAAACTTCCAATAAAGCTACCCGATCGTCCACTAAGTGATCAAGATATCAAGCGATACGTTAAAAAACTTAAAATTTTCAATTTTAGAGGCGTGTTTATGCGAGATACCTTACCATCGTCTTCAAAGAAAACCGAATGCGGGGTTCTTAATTTGGATACGAATATGGGATCGGGATCACATTGGGTAGCTTATAAGAAAAAGGAAAACACGGTTGTTTACTTTCATAGTTTTGGGAACCTAAATCCACCAAAAGAACTCGTTCGTTATTTTAAAAATTGTAAGATACTTTTCAACTATGATCAGTATCAGTCATATAACTCCTACAATTGTCGACATCTTGTACTTGGTTTTTTGTTTAATTAATCTATATAAAGTAATTGTGTTTTGATTTTATTTCAGTCATATCTCAGACATTCACGTTGAAAGGTCGAACAAGTCGCTTGAGTGTTGATATTACACCACCCATCAAGCTAGATTCTAGTTATAACTATTCATTAGCTCTCATCTCACTCAGTACGTGGAATTCCATTCTCAACATTGAACCAGGTCGAAACAAGTTCTACAAACAACAAATGATAGAAATCCTAACCGGGTCGTACGAGGTTACCGATATTGAAGCCTATCTACAAAAACAATTAAGTACGACTACAAAAGAAAATATTTCTCTTAAACCAAACAACAATACATTGAAGTGTGAACTAAAGGCTATATATGATATTAATTTCAAGCCCGAGGATAGTATAGGAAAACTTTTGGGATTTTCAGAAAAATCTCTGGAAAAGAATTATCTACACGAATCCGATCTGCCAGTTGAGATAATATCGGTGGCTAGTATACGGATAGAGTGCAACATCATCTCTGGTTCCTACTTCAATAGTAATCCTTCACATACGTTATACGAATTTACTCCAGCTGTGGATCCTGGATACCGAATTATAATAGATCTTCGAAACTTGATATATCTACCTATCAATAGGGACAGTATAGATAATATAACAATTAATATACTTGATCAAGAAGGACGGCCAGTTAATTTCCGAGGAGAGGAGATCATAGTGAGATTAGAGCTTAAGAAATATGGTCCTGGTTTTTAATAAAACTGGTGACTATTTAAAGAGTGTTGTTAATAACTCGAGCTCAGTCTGCAGTCAACCGTCAAAGCAAACGCTCACACATAAAAGTTTGATTGGGTTGAGAACTCTGGCTTCCCAATATGGATATCGTATCAGGAAAACTGCAAATATTTCAGTCGGTCAACACCGATGAGTCCGTAGCGAGAGAGGAATGGCATACTTACCATCCTTTCACCAATTCTTTCAACTATAGTGATGAAATAGAAATTGTTATCAATCAACAAGGTGCATTTATAGATATCAGCCAAGCCGAAGTCTACATTGAAGGAAAGTTTAATGAAGACGTTACCGCTGGAAAGACAGGAAAATGTAATCTAACAATTAATGCAGGTGCTTTCTATTTGAATCTATCACTTATGAATTAAATGGCAAGGAAATTGATAAAATTCGAGATCCGGGGCTTACTAGCACAGTGAGGAACATTTTATGTCTCAACGATCAAGAGAGTAGAGCACTCGATCGAGCTGGATGGAATTGGCCTAAGGGTGAAGTGAAATCTTTAGCGGGGAACAAATTTAATTTCCTGATACCCTTGAAGATTTTACTAAATATCTTTTCCGATTAGAATAAGGCTATTATGGGAAGACAGAAAATAAAACTTGTCAGAGCTAGAAATGATGATAACTGTTACATCAATACGACTGGAGATAGAACATCAAAAATTACTTTAGACACAGTAGAATTGAGGGTGAGGCACATTTATCCAAACGATGTTTTAAAATTGAAATTATTGGAAGATATTTCGAACAACAAACCCATATTTATTCCATTCAGAAGTTGGGAGATTCATGACTTACCTACATTGAGAAAATCCAAGCGAGACGTGTGGACTGTGAAATCAATGTCCGAGAGAGCCAGATATATCATAGTGTTTTTCCAGAAAACCCGAAAAGATAATCCTCGATATGATATTACTCTTATCGATAATTTTGACATTACAGATGTCAAGCTGTATCTAAACTCTGAAGTTCATCCGTATGAATCACTGAATCTTAATTTCGATGACAAACAGTTTGCAGAAGCATACCGATGTATACCGAATTTCAAAACACGTATTTGGGTAAAACCAATAGTGAACCATTGCTGGACCTTCCCAATTTTGCCAACAGGGCATTATTTGTTATAGACTGCTCAAAACAGAACGAATCCCTCAAAAGCAACACGACTGATGTCAAATTAGAGTTCCAAAGCTCAGAGAATTTTTCGGCTGATACACGAGCCTGTTGTATAATCGTACATGATCGGGTGTTTGAATACTTACCTTTATCAGGTAACGTTCGAACATTGATGTAGCCAGTGACTTCAAACATTCGCAGAAAAGGATGGAGTTTGTGCTTTTGGACGGTTAATGTTACTTTTCAAATAATTGCATAAAAAATACATTCCACTCTGAATCCTTATTTGTTGATGGTCTTATTGCGACGTTTTGTTGTTGCTATTTTCTCATTTTCATCAAATCTAAAATTAAAATAATTAGTTTCAATTGAATAGGATATATTATAGTAAACTTACGATTCAACAGTTTCACGTTGGATTTAGTCCCTGAATCTCTTTCATAGACTTGAAAATGAGTGCCAATTTCCCAGCCTCGAACTGGTCAAGATTTTGTTTAATCAGTTCGGTTGAACGTTGCGGTAGAAATGTGATAGGTACATTTTTCCAAGTCTACTTTTGCTACTTCTCCAAATTTAGAGTTAACAACTGTTATACTTATAATGGGATACAGATGATTTGGAGCTAGGTCCTTCAATTTCAAATAGGGCTTTTCTTCAATACAAGCCGCCTGGTTTATTTGATCTAAATTCATGATTGTCTCTAAAAAAATAGACCAATGTATTATTATCAGGGTCATTAAGATTAATGAAAAAATTACTTACATAGTTTTTTAGCAATAAACACAATTAACTTCAAATAATCCAACGCCCAACTTTGAATGAAATTTTCGTAGAAAAATGTTTTTGAAACTGGAGCACTGAAAAAACGTTGT